TTTTATTCTGTGTTTAAACCTTTTCTTGAATTCTTATGCTAGTAGTCTCATACAATATTTGTCCTTTTGTGACTGACTAATTTCACTCAGCATAATGCCTTCCAGATTCATCCATGTTGTGAGATGTTTCGCGGATTCATCTTTGTTCTTACCATTCCGTAGTATTCCATTATGTGTATATACCATAATTTGTTTATCCATTCGTCTGTTGATAGGCACCTAGGTTGTTTCCATCTTTTTGCTATTGTGAACAGTGCTGCAATGAACATGGGTGTGCATATATCTATTTGTGTGACGGCTCTTATTTCTCTAGGATATATTCCAAGGAGTGGGATTGCTGGATCGTATGGTACTTCTATTTCTAGCTTTTTAAGGAAGCGCCAAACCTTTTTCCAAAGTGGTTGTACCATTTTACATTCCCATCAGCAGTGTATAAGTGTTCCAGTCTCTCCGCAATCTCTCCAACATTTATTATTTTGTGATTTTTTGGATTAGTGCTAGCCTTGTTGGGGTGAAATGGTATCTCATTGTAGTTTTGATTTGCATTTCTCTGATGGCTAATGATTGTGAGCATTTCCTCGTGTATCTGTTAGCTGCCTGCATGTCTTCTTTGGTGAAGTGTCTGTTCATAGCCTTTGCCTGTTTTTCAGTTGGGTTATTTGTCTTTTTGTTGTTGAGGTTTTGTACTGTCTTGTAGATCTTAGAGGTTAAGATTAGGCCCTGATTGAATATGTTGTAGCCAAATTTTTTTTCCCAATCTGTAGTTTGTCTTTTTACTCTTTTGGTGAAGTCTTTTGATGAGCGTAAGTGTTGGATTTTTAGGCGCTCCCAGTTATCTAGTCTCTCTTCTGGTGTTTGTGCATTGTTAGTAATGTTTTGTATTCTGTTTATGCCATGTATTAGGGCTCCTAGTGTTGTCCCTGTTCTTTCTTTCATGATCTTTATTGTTTTCGATTTTATGTTTAGGTCTTTGATCCATTTTGAGTTAGTTTTTGTGCATGATGTGAAGTATGAGTCTTGTTTCATTTTTTTGCAGGTAGATATCCAGTTATGCCAGCACTATTTGTTAAAGAGACTGTCTTTTCCCCGATTAACGTACTTTGGGCCTTTGCCAAATATCAGCTGCTCATAGGTGGATGAATTTACGTCTGGATTCTCAATTCTGTTCCGTTGGTCTTTGTATCTGTCGTTGTACCAATACCAGGCTGTTTTGACTACCATGGCAGTATAATAGATTCTAAAATCAGTAGTGTGAGGCCTCCTTCTTTGTTCTTCTTCTTCAGTAATGCTTTACTTATCCAGGGCTTCTTCCTTTTCCATATGAAGTTGGTGATTTGTTTTTCCATCTCATTAAAAAATGCTGTTGGAATTTGGATCAGGATTGCATTGTATCTGTAGATTGCTTTGGATAGAATTGACATTTTCACAATGTTGAGTCTTCCTATCTATGAGCAAGGTATGTTTTTCCATTTATGCAGGTCTCTTGGTTTCTTGTGGTATCTTCTAGTTTTCTTTGTATAGGTCTTTTAAGTCTTTTGTCTTTTTGGGTGCTATTGTAAATGGTATTGATGTGGTGATTTCCTCTTCAAAGTTCTCTTTGTTGGTGTGGAGGAATCCAACTGATTTTTGTATGTTTATCTTATGTCCTGATACTTTGCTGAAATCTTCCATTAGTTCCAGTAGTTTTCTTGTGGATTCTTTGGGGTTTCAGGGTGGCTTTTAAGAATCAAATTAAGAATATGTAGTTAAAAGGACTTTGAAAGTACAGTCAAACACCTCATGAGATTTGGTTCCTGGGTCATGGTTTCTTGGGACATCCCAGTTAATTGGCCTAATAACATGTTTAGTGCTTCTATTCTACCTCCTAGTTCATTGTAGTGCCTGGGATCTTAAAAGGTTGCAAGCAGCCATTCAAGGCACAACAATTGGTCTCTGTTCACCCAGAGTAACAGAGGAAGAAGGAGAGTCAGGAATAGAAGGAGGATATGGAATGTGTGGCCAATTGCCTCCATGAACAGCTGCCTCCTTTGCCATGAGACCAGAAGAACTGGTTGATGCCTGGCTACTATTACTGAACATTTTGATCAAAGATTCCATAGAAGAATCCTGATCAAAAGGGGGAAAATGCCGAACAGAATTTAAAATTCTCATGGACTCCAGACTTCCTGGAACCATCAAGGTGGGATGAACTTCTGAAACTATTGCCCTGAGATAATCTTTAAACCTTAAACCAAAAATATCCCCTGAAGTCTTCGTAAAACCAAACAATAGCTTAACTAGTAAAAAATGTCTGCCTTGAGTATTATGCTCTTTTGAGAACTAACTGTATGGGATCAAGTTGACAACAGCAACTCAAAAGATTAGATAGGAACCTTAGGGGTCAGTGAGTTATGTTGCTGAGGGAGGAACAACTCAGAAAAGGAGGGTGAGAATGGTTGTACAACTGAAAGGATGTAATTAATGTCACTGAATTGTACATTTAGAAACTGTTCAGAAAAAGAGAATTTTGACAGACTGTGATAAATGTAACTAATGTCACTGAACAATCTGTGTGAAAATTGTCAAATGAGAACCTAACTTGTTATGTAAATTTTCACCAAAAACTCAATAAAATACTATGTTTAATAAAAAGGCCTTTGAAAGCTGTTAATCAACTAACTTTTCAGTTCTGTAGGGAGAGATGGAAATGAGTTACAGTAAAGTGTTCTTGGTACCATAAAAGAAGTCTGTATGGGCACGACAAGGGCATAGAGGAGGAGAAATGGTCAGGAAATCTTTCACAGAGGTGATGATTATGCTCCATCAGCTAGCCAGTAGCAGACACGTATGGTGCCTTCGATATGTGGCACTGTGCTTGTGCTAGGGATGGCCAAAAGAGCCAGCAGGACAGACCACACCTCCATCCTCCTGGCACACACAGTCTACTGGGGAAGGCAGGGATTGAATGTGTAATTAACTCAACAATTGTAAGAGTGCAAAAGAGTAACAGTAGAAAAGTACAAAATGATGAGATGGGTTTTGAGGGGCATTTACAAAAGGAACCAACCTACCAGATATGTTTTTCTAATTATGTCTTGGTGAAAGAATTAGTTAAGAGCTTATTTACTGTTCTTGAGGTGATCCTTGGTTCAGTCATTTAAAAAAAAAGCTTATTGGGTATTGTGCTGGAAACAACAATGTAAGTAGCATATACTACCCGCTTTTAAGTATCTCTTAGAATCATAGAGGAGTGAACACATTTTGACAGTGTTTCACAAATGAAGTTGAGAGTGGCTCTGTTTGAGGTGGGCCTAAGAGAAGGCAAGAGTTCATCAGGGAAACCTTTAAAGAGGCCGGGAGAGCCAGGCTTTGAAGAGTATGACCAAGGCATTGGCCCTGAGACAGACAGCCTAGGTTGTCTCTCTGGTTTAAAATCCAGCTCTGGTACTTACGGCTATGCTTAGGCAAATGTGCCTCAGTTTTCATATCTGTAAAATGGAAATAATAATTGCACTGACCTCACAGAGCTGTTGTGAGAATTAAATGAATGTGTAAAACACTTAAAACAGTGCCTCGCATGTAATAAACAATTGAAGGTTAACTGTCGATGTTATTCTACAGATCTACCCAGACCCGTTGCCCTCGAGTGGATTCTGACTCATAGTAACCCTGTAGGTCAGAGTAGAACTGCCCCATAGTGTTTCCAAGGCTGTGAACTTTACAGAAGCAGACTGCCACATCTTTCTCCCACAGAGTGGCTGGTGGGTTAGAACCACCCACCTTTCAGCTACCAGAACTCTTCCTCCAGATATCTAGCAGAGTGGGGGGGATAGGATCAGGGCTTCAAACTGGGTTCCTTGCAGTTCGAACCCCTGCTGAGGTTTTCCATTTCTGCCAACTCCCATACTAAGAATTTGCATTTCTGCCCCAGGTATCCTGAATCAGAATCTACATTTTAACAAGATCCCTAGGTGATATTTATGTGTAACTTCCTGGGAACTTTTTAGAAATGCAAATTTGCAGCATGGGTTCTAAGTGGGAGCAAACTGTTTTGAAGGCCTGTGTGGAATTGGCAGGTTGTGATTTTTGATTGAATGTGAAAAGGATGAGCCTAGGGCAGTGGCTGTCAACCTTGGATGCACATTAGAATCACCTGCGGTATAAAACAAGCTGCTGTCTGGGCCCCACCCCTAGACCAGTTTATTCAGTAGCGCTGGTGGTGTGGCTCCAGGTGATTCTAATGTGCTGTAGGGCTTAGAACCCCTGGTCTAGGACTACTTCTAGACTTCTGGCTTGGGTGACTTTGTTGCTGATGATGCCATTTACTAGGATAAAAAGCAGATTGGAAGAAAGGATGGCTTTCAATGTAGTGCATGGCATTTCTAAGAATCTTGTTAGTATTTATATGCTTTGGTATTTTGTAACTGAAGAATCATTTTTTTATTAATTTCTGGATTGGATATTATAAATGACCCCAGACCATATGATTTTCATGGTCTTGCTTCTGCATTTTTTACTTTGAGTTTCTTTTCAGATATTATTTGCCGCTGTTCCTTTTCTTTGGACTTACTACCTTTCAGTGCATTCTGTATTTATATATTTATTAGGCTTGTCTGACTCCCTCTTCTGAAATGTATTGTTAACTGCTCCCCTGCCCTACCACTACTACCACCACCAGTAGAATGGAAACTTCAATAGAGCAAGGATCTTTGATATTTTTGTTCACTAGTGAATCTAACTTTCTGGCACATAGTAGATGATACATATTTCTCAAATGAACACATGAATTACCATCAGGATGGTTTTGTTTCCTTCCAGATTCTTGGCTCTGCTCCAGAGTAGAAGTGAGGTGTTGGAGAGTAGTTTCAGGGAGATCTGTGGGAACTGTTTCTTTCTGTATTAATTGTTAATTAAACATGGAGCTTAGTTTCTGGTCACCACCTGTTGTAAGAGAATACAGTTGAGCAAATAGTTCTTAATACATCTTAACAATGAAAACTTTTTTAAAAATGTTTTGATAGGAACCACCAAAGCCAGCCCTAAATAATTTTGAAGTGGGAATGAAACTTGAAGCAATAGACAGAAAGAACCCTTATCTGATCTGCCCTGCAACTATTGGAGATGTGAAAGGAGATGAAGTTCATATCACATTTGATGGCTGGAGTGGAGCTTTTGATTATTGGTGCAAGTACGATTCTCGAGATATTTTCCCAGTTGGATGGTGTCACCTGACAGGAGATGTATTACAACCACCAGGAGCTTATGGTAAGACAATAAGTTGCTACACATTCTTTTATTTTATTGAAGTTACATTTAACTGCTGTTGGTGGCATGGTGGTTAGCACTGTCGGTGTTAAGACTTCATGCCCAACTGGAACAGCAGACAGAACAGTGAGAACACTGCCCAGGCTAGAGAACGGGGCAAAAGGAAGGCCATGATTAGAATTCTTGAGGGCTACCCCAGTATCATAATCTGAGTTACCAATCCACTGGAGACTAATTAGCAAAGCTGAAAGTCACATTTGGACCATTGAAACCTTGTTGCTGTAAGCACTTTGGGGGGCTCAGCTGCCTTTATAGTTGATAATTCAGTTAACAATTACACATGGCATTTCATTGCTCATATCTTAAAGATATTTCTAAAAAGGGTTGGGCATTAGAAATGTTACATACATATATTAGGTACCCCTTGGTACCCTACTGGACGTAATTCTCATTCTCTGCTGGCCATAATTCTAGAAGCAGATATTAGTATTTGATTTTGTGTGTCATAGATCTGTGTGCACGTGGTAATAAGATAAATAAGTCATGGTCTCTGCCTTCAAAAAGTTTACCTTCTAGTGGGAAAGGGATGAATGGAGGTATAGACTTGTAAAAATAAAAATACAATACAGAGTTAGCAATGTAAAAATAGAGATGTTTGCTAGATATCAAGGTGGCCCACAGACATCCAGTATGTTTAGGCTGGAGGAAAAGGTGGCTAGGTAAAGGAAAGCTTCATAGAAAGATGCATGACATGAGTATTAAAATGAGATTGAGTTTGCCAGGCAGAATAGAGATAAAGGTAGAGTGGACACATTACAAAGGTGTAAAATTGTGCAGTTTATCCTGAAAACTGATAAGTTCAGTTTGGGACATAGTGAGTTTGAAGTGTGTGGCTGAGAATACTGGTCGTCCCTCCAGTATCTGTTCCCCTTTTCTTTCTGAGTAATACTGTTTGGCTGCCTAGTATAAAGGCTAGGACGAGGCAGTGTTTCGTGCTGTTGTACATAGGGTCGCTATGAGTTGGAACTGACTCACTGGTACCTAACAACAATGTTACCCAAATAGGGTCCATGCAATTCCTTAATGAAAAGATAATAAGAAACAACAGAACTCTGCGGGATATCTCATGTAATTTTTGGACCATAGGTAAACTGTATTGAGTTCTTATTCTAGAATGTTGAAATAGAAGTAATTTTCAATTAATCCTTTTGAGGTTTTCATAATGTTTACCTGAATAGGGTCTGTGCCCTGGAGCAGTTGAGCCAATGAAACATACTCCAAGTCAGAAAGAGTGAGAAAGTTTTATTTTAGGAGGTATCCACCACCAGGGATCTGACAGCAACGCAGCCTGTCTCTGTGGGGTCCCGAAAGGCATTTTTACATTAGAGCTTATATATGATTTTTACAAAGCTTAGAAGTGTCATTATTCATTACAAGGTAATTACAAGAGACTCTTTATCATACTAAAGAGATACACGCAGGACATTTCCTTATCAGGGTAAAGGTATACATATCTGACATCTGGGCTCTAATCTTCCTGTGGGGGGGGGGTTGTAAGCCACAGGTGGCTGGACAGAGCAGAACAAAGTCATTAACAAAGGTATGTGAAAAGGAGAAGGCAAAGAAAAAAAAACTTATAGGTTCATCATGGCGTTAATTATGTCAAGCTCTCAGTCGCCCATGTTGAAAAGGAGAAAACATGCTGGAGAATATTTGGGTCACATATTCCCCCCTTTTGAAGCTTGGGTGGCCATATACACCCATCCCAGGTTTCAGCCTATTCCCTTAGATCAGAAAGTTTCAGGCAAAAGGATTGAGCCTTTTTCCTGCGACAGGTTTGAGCCATCTGTTGGACAGTCTGACTCGGGACAGACAATACCATCTCACGTATAGGGATAAACTGGAGACAGCAACAGATTAACAGGCCCATAGTGACCAATCCGGTTCTACTAATGAATAAGGTTTTTAGCCAGGTAAAATCTGGCAGCCAAGAGGTCAGCCAAGAAAAATCAAATCCTTCATGAATTTTGTAACAGGCCCCCAGCTATAAATATCAGAATATTGTAACTCTTTCTTTGTGTGTTTAAAACATGGTGAAATTTTTCAACGCCTTTAGGGGAGTACAAATCTTGATGGGACAGAACTTGAGGCCTGAGCTGGCGTACAACCCCCCGTCCAGACAGACATCAGTAATGTTTAACACTTCTCTAGCAATATAGATCCAAAATTTTTCATCTTTTAACAAGGAGTCAGGGGGAACGTTTATCTTGGGGACGAGGATTCCCCGAGCAGAAGTCTCTGTGGTACCTAATAGTAATCCCATCCAAGCTAGCATTAAAAGCATTTTTACTTTTTAACCCTAGAAAGTCTTAACTTTAGGCCGTCGATGGGTTGAGCTTTCCACTCCTTCTTGTCATTGTAGACCGGGCAGGGCTTGACGCAGGAATGATGGATCCACGGTTTGACTCCTGTAAGCTTCACGGCTGTGTGAGTGCTGAGTAGTATGGTGAAGGGTCCAGTCCACTTAGGCTGTAACAGGAGGTACTTCCACTTTGAAAGGAGCACCTGGTCACCAGGCTGGAAAGAGTGTCCGGCTATCTCAAGAGGGAACTTCTCTTGGATCCATACCGCCTGATGGAACTGGGAAAGAATTTTGGTTAGAGACAGCAAATATTTAGACATCATTACATCAGGGGGCTAGGTGGAGGGCTGCAGGGAGAGTTGTTTGAGACAATATGGTCTCCTATAAAGTATTTCAAAAGGACCGATTTTAAGCTTTCCCTGGGGCACAATACAGACTTGGAGGAGGGCCAGCGTCAGGACATCTGTCCAGGGTGGCCTGGTCTCTTGGCACAGTTTACTAAGATGACGTTTTATGGTCTGATTCATTCTTTCAACCTTTCCACTAGATTGGGGTCTCCATGCTGTGTGGAGTTTGCACTTTATTCCTAAAGCAGCTGAAACCTGTTGTACCACTCTCTAGCTGCCTCGGTCTGGCAGGGAAAAGCTTTTACCCATCCTGAAAAAGAATCTATGTGCACCAGTAAATATTTCATTAGTTTTGAACACTTCACAAAAGTCAACTGGCCATATTTCACCTAGAAAGGGTCCTATTCCTTGAGGGCCAGAAATCTTGAGCCCATAAGTCTTTGGATAATGTCCTTTTTGTTTTAATACTACAGTCACTGCGTGAGGGACAAATGCGATAGTATCACGTCCCATAGTAAATTTATTAGCCTTCTTTATGATAATGCTAGCTGCAGCAACTGCTTGGAGGCAGGCCGGCCATCCTTTTGAGAAAAGCGTCCAGATTTTTTTAGAGAAATAGGCAACAGGGCATCACCATGGTCCCAACAACTGGGTTAATACACCAATGGCTACTCATCTTCTTTCATCTATGTATATAATTCAAAGGGTTTTTGATAATCTGGCTGCCCTAGGGCCGGGGCTTTCATCAGTTGAGACTTTAAATCACAAAAGGCTCGTCCATTCAAAAGGATATCTCTTGCCCCGAGTAGCTGATATAGCTGATAGGCTAGGCAGCAGATGGTTTCTAGGTAGTAAGTGCCTTTGCCCTTGGTAGATGAGGAAACCTAGGTATTTTACCCCTGTGAGGTTAGCTTGTAACTTTCTTCAAGAGACTCGGTATCCAGCTTCAGCCAAAAAATTTAAGACAGTCCCAGTATTTGTGACAGAGTCTTCCTTAGACTCGCTTCCTATCAGGAGGTAGCCCACATATTGAAGGACCACTCCTTGGTCGAGGGGAGTTAACTGCTCTGGATCGTGGGCCAGTGCTGTTCCAAAAATAGTGAGGGAATTCTTAAACCCTTGAGGTAGCACAATCCACAGAGCTGTTTTCTTTCTTTTGTCACTTTCCTATTTGGAAGCAAAGATCAGCTGGCTCTCAGCAGCCAGCGGGACAGAAAAGAAAGCATCTTTTAAATCCAAAACAGTAAAATGAGTACAGGAAGGTGGGAGAGCCGATAGTAGGGTATATGGGTTCGAGACTACTGGGTATAGGGTCCTCACAACTCTGTTAACAGCCCGCAAAAAGGTATACTCACCGGTCGACACCTTCTTTACCAGCAGAACAGGGGTGTTGAATGGGAATCGGCACTCTTGCAACAGTCCCCATTCTAGGTGTCGAGTGATTAGTCCCTCCGGTCCCAGGATGAGCCTCAACTCTCAGTGGATATTGTTTAATCCGAGGAGACATGACATTGGGTAACAGCTCCATGACCACAGGGAAGACAGTCAGAGCTCATCCTGGCCGGCCGTTTGCCCAAACCCACGGGGTTATGGCATCAACCACTCTTTGAACCATGGGTGAGATGGATGCCAGGGATAGCACTGGTTGGGTGAGGGCTAAGAGAGCTGCTTGCACTTTCCAGGCATTCGCTGTCAGTACTGTTAGAGATAGGCCTTTTTTATCAAAAGAGATTTCAGCATGCACTTTACTTAGGAAATCCCACCCCATAAAGGGGGACCAGGCATTCGGGCATGTACAGAAACTGGTGGGATAGTTTGATTTCCTCTATTTCACAGTCCATTGGCTGCAAAAAGGATCAAGTCACCTTTTTTCCATTCACCCCGACAACTTGAGTACTGCTGGTCGAGGCAGTCCCTCTAGGCTTCCGAGTGGGTACCGAGAAGGCTGCTCCAGTATCAATCAAAAAGTCTACTGGCTGTCCTCCCACCATAACTTTTACCAGGGGGGGTCAGTAGGAGGTAAATCAAAAGTTGTCTCCCCCTATCTCCGTCATTCAGGGTCCTCCTCCTGCTCTTTCATAATTCCTTGAAAAAGCTTCTCCCCGCTTTCAATCTTGCCTGGCCCTTTTCCATTCTATCTTTTGGGGCACTCGTTTTTCCAGTGTCCCTCTGCAAAATGCACACTGGTTTTTCTTTAATCGGGGGCCGTCCTTACCTTGGTCCTGTCGTCTTCCTCTAGACGATCCCAGAGCAGTGGTCGGTAAATTTGCCTGTTTCTTCATGTCCTGGTC